AAACGGCCTCGCCTCCCTGCTGGGCTGCCCAGGTGCTGCGCTGCTCGATGGATGTTTGTTATATTTTTATTTTCTTCATGGATATATATATATTATATATTTTTAATTTGAAGTAAGTTCAGAAGTATTTCTTTAAAAGCTTTGACTAACTATATATTTCAGCTGTTTTCAGATTGTTGTTCTGGTCATAACTCCTATTACATCCACTCAGTACGGACTAAACAAATGATGTCACCTGATGTCAAGGTTTTCACAACATGAAATATAATCTGAACGTGAAGAGAAAAAAAAAAACTGGATGTTCACTATAAATAATGAGGAGGTTTTTATGAATAAATTAACATACACTATGAATTTTGTAACACTAAAATGCAGTGGGTGGGAGGACACTGACTGAGCTGGGGGGGGCTTTCAAGTGCGGAGAAAAAGCAGGTAGAGGGCAGCATCGCTGCAGATTACACAACTGTATCTTTCAATGGTTTGTAATTTTGGGAAAATTCTATAATGTTTATAATGACTGGAATATTTTCACCCTGAAATTGTAGAATATTTTTGTAGAAAATCAAAAAAGTTATATTAAACATGAACAACAGACCATATTTTTTTTCGTATTATTTTCCAAAAAATATAAAGAGGTTAATCCAGAGCTCTTCTTCGGTAACTCATTATGATAAAAGAAAATTGATCATAATTTGATTTATTTTTCAAAAAATAAATGTATTTTAATTTAATTACTGTTTGAAAATCTAGCAAAATAACAGAATAAAAATCCCCAGCTTTGGGTATCTCGAAAGGGTCTTTTTTTCTGTGATCACAATTTGAGTATTGATTTTTTTATTTTTTTGTAGCTGCTAATTGTCCTCGTTAGTTCTTGTCCTTCAGTTTAGCCGTGAGACGCAACTCTAGGTGAGCTAACTCACCAACTGTGTAAAATATCTCCTTATTTATTGAGCCTAAATGAGCCGCAGTCACCCGACCCCCCGACTCCCCCCCCAGAGCACATACATTTAATATGCCTTATGGGACCTCGGTGCCATTTGGACTCACGCTAACGATCTATACAAGCTTATCAGCGCTGCTAACACGTGCACATAAAGCCCTCCGCCGCTCGCTCGCTCTCTTTCTCAAACCACTTCTGTTTCCACGGCGATAATTAAGCCATCAAAGCGGCAACCATCCCCAGCCCATCCTCTGTCTCTGAGGTGAAAACACAGGCCCACATGTCAAGTGGAGCGCAGCCACCCGTGTGTCTCTTCAAAGGCGAAGACACAAGGGACTGGCAAAGAAAGGTGTGTGTGTGTGCGTGTGTGTGCGTGTGCGTGTGTGTGCGTGTGTGTGGTCGACTATCCCGTTACAGAATGCAGCAGGCTGCTAGTCAACACAGTGTGACGTAGTCAGGATGTGTGATACCCGCTGTCGTGCCGTGCTGGAGATCCACAGAGGACTGTCTGCGTTCTGCCGGGTTTTTTCCAGCGTGGGTTCCATTTGTTCTGACGAGACAGGAACCGTCCACACGTGCTCCACCTCGCTCAGCTTTAATCTTTCGTTCCAGTCCGATCACACTGTTCCACGTAATCAGCCAACGTTCCGTTCCGTTACAGAAGGTAATGATGAACTTGTACCAACTGATGACCTTAGATAGACCTTAAATTCCAACAATGGTCGCTGACATCTTGATGTGACCAAACTTTAGTTGGGTCAGGGGTTTGAATCCCATCATCATGAAGGTGACTTCTTTTCAGAAAGTAACCCTTTTGCTGTCCTAGAGTTCAACCGACCCTAAACTAATTTTCACAAGTAATTTAGTTATACAGTACGGTCCGATATGCCGATATTTCCTAAACACTTAATTTCCAATTCCGATATCAACCGATGCCGATATAGGCCTGGTAATATTTATTTGTTTATCTGTAGGAACCAGTGTATTACATTGCTGGAACTAACATTCTGCAAACAATCCCCTGGTTGTTAAATAAAATTAGCTGCAGTGCTGCCATCTAGTGACTTTGACGTTAATAAACAGAGTTTATCCCCAAAACTACTTTTAGGGCTCACATCATTTGGCGAAACCAGGCATTCCGTTATCGAGTTTTCATTATGGGAGGAAGAACCGATAACGATTCTTACAGATGACATAATCATGCTAATATTGGCCGATAATTATTGGACATCCCTAATATATATATATATATATATATATATATACATATATATATATATATATATATATACAGGCATATCACCCTGTGGCTGCAGCTTGTCATCATGGCTGCGTTTAGAAAAAGTTCAGGTTTCCATTTTGTCACTCCAACTCTTCTCACATTTGTTTATATGCCCCGATTTTTTTCCAAACACTGAATTCAATAAATAGATAATAGAGTCGATCCAGGTCAAAGTCAAGGTCGTCTGCCGGGGCTGGTTCTGCACGGCGTGCAAACACCAGCGGTGCAGGCGTAAACAAACAGAGTTTGTGTGGATAGCGGTGGACCGCTGTTAATGGATGCATCCTCCCGTGTTACTGACAGCTCCTAATGACTGTGGTAGACCTGGTGTAATTAGGTGACCGTACGCCATGACACCTGTCTTTCAGGAGCCAATTCTCCCTGATGTTTTTTCTAATCAAGTCACACACACACAAAAACACACACGTCCACATGCTGCCGTCTGCTCTCCCTGGCGCAGTGCCCCAGTGGCTGTACATCCACGCTGTATCCCTGTGTATTAGTTCCTGGGGGGGGGGATTATCTAGAGGAGCAGCATGACTAAGGATTGCTTGTAGTTTGTTTGTGTGTGTGTGCTCGGAGGGAATCGTGTCAGTGCAACTAAATTCCGTAACTAAGACGCTGCCAATCACGACCAAGAAGGAAACTCTGTACGTCTGCTTTCTCTTCCTGCCTTGGTTGGGTGTTTTTTTTTTCAGCCTTTACTGTGCAAGCTAAAACAAAAATCAATTTTTTTTTAAAATAATTGTTACATTTCTTAATAATTCCACCTGAACTATTGTAACCTGCAGGGTTTGGTAATTCCTAAGCTGTGAAACGGAGTAAGAGCTTGGTAATTATTCTGTGGGGAGTGGGTGCTCAGAGTCAGGGCGGTGGGCTAGTGTCGCTCCACTGGAGAGCAGGAAGGAGGGAAGAAACAAATGTGAATACGAGGAATTACACACCTTTCCAGGCCAGTGTGTCAGGGAGGGAAGTAAACAGTGAGCAGAGAGAGAGTAATATTAATGATCAGGCAGGAGTGTCTTTATATCATTTATCAACTGATTTAAATATTTTTTTATAAGGATTTTTTTTTTAAATAAAATAAAAGATGTGGTTTGGGTGACTAATCTCTCTCCTCGGCTCCTGTTGATGTTGTGGTAATTGAGCAGGTCGGCGTTCCTCTGTCAGCAGCCAGTAGAAGGAGAGAGGTATAACCTTTGTCTCAGGGACGGCAGATATACGAGGCAGGCGAGCTCCAAGGATTATACACAGAGGTCCTCGCCCGAAGATGGAGAGCAGGAAAAAAGCCTGTGACCGTGGAATAATTTCAACCTCCCTCCCTCCCTTGAGACCACACGCTGTCTGAGCCAGCTACCATCACCACCCCTCATTCCCCTCACCTCCCCCCTTCTCTTTCTACCTCCCCTCCTCCTCTCCATCCCTACACCTCTATTGCCAATCCCATTACCGCCTGCCGCTGCCGGATGTCTCTTCTTCTCCTCCTCAACGGAGTGGGGAGGGAGGCAGCAAAGGTGGNTTGTAGGTGGTGGAGGAAAGAAAGACAGAAACTAAAGTCAGGTTCCTGTGCAGCAGCAGCAGCAGCAGCAGCAAAGTGCTACAGCAAATCATCGCTGCATTAGGAATATGGGCAATTAGCGCCGTGGCACATCACTCCAGACACACATACACAGGCGGATGTATACTGACTCCAACGATATCCAAACATCCAAATAGAAGAAGAAGAAAAAAAAACATCCCTCATGATAATAAATAGATTCAAGACACCGGCTGTTCTGTGTTCTCATGTTTTCCTGACCTCAAAGATCCTAAACACATCAACAAAAAAAGAAAACGGTCTTTTTTTCCGTGGCAGGCCACATCCTAAAGATCATGCAGATATATTTTTAACAAGCGTCGTCTGAGAATAAATCCTCGGCGCCAGGACGCTGTGTGTGTACGCGGGAGGATGCAGAGAGCGGGAATTCGCCGTTCCACCTTAAGAAAGGTACCTTAAAAGATTATCTCGGTTATTTCACCGCCACTGAGCCGGCACTAATAGTCCAAGGCAGATATTGAAGAGCAGCGCGGGGCCGCAGAGATCTATTAGAAATTCCCATCTACGCGCCTCATACATATTGATTTCTGACACCAAGCAGCAATGAAAGGCCCTGGGGAATAATATATTTAGCAGGGTTTGCAGTGGGGAGGTCACAGAGTGCATATAGATTAGCTGCACAGACCCCTGACAGGACCGTGTGTGAGTCCAAACTGTAGACAGACAGGCACACACACCTGGACATGAGCGCACACGTGCACGTGCGAGCTGCGGCGTGTGTGCATATGTTCACGTGGAGTGCTTTTACATCTGTGTGTGATGTCACATCAGGGCACACCAGCAATGAAAGACCGTTTTTAAATTGCTCACTTTTAATAAATTAAAAAAAAGAAAAGAAAACCAACAACAAAGACACATGCCTTGGGTCAAACCTTCACTGCTGGAAATATTTTTTTTATTTTTCTTCTAATCCAACCTTTTGTCTATTTGTGAGAAATAATACTATGTTAATTCATTCAGTTAATATTGAATACAGTGTTCAGAGTGATCTCCTTATAAACAGGGGCCTCATTGGAGGCTGTTTACTGGATTTACTCCTGGTGGAAGCACATACACTGCACACAGGAGGTGAACCGGCAACACCAACACCTACACACTGAAATATCAATAATGCAGCAGGAACGCAACCTTTTTTTTTTCTTTTGTGAAGATAAGAAAATCCTTTCAGTGAAGCTTTGGCTTTTAATGACTTTATAGCCGTAACTAGAATTCTATAGTAGTTTAATAGAGTTTAATTCTGCAGGGCAAACATATGGTTGGACCGTCGTGCGGCTTGAAACAACACGACAGTCACATATATAAAAGTCACATTTGAAACTAATGAAACAATGAAATCATTCTGTACTGAAACACTTTGAAAAATAAAGAAAGAGGAGGTGTTATGACCCCCAGTCTCAGAGAGGGGGCGTGTCTCTAGTGCTGTCAGCTCAGCAGGTGTCACTGATGAGGCTGATTGGAGGAGGCTCATCCTGATTGGTTGACAAGGAGAGGGCAGCAGTACATAAACCCCTCCCTAACCTGAACTCTTCTCTTCCTCCTCACCTCTTCAACTGATCCTGTCACTGGTCAGTAGTGAGTTTGTCATGAAGTGTGTATATATTTGGCTTTGCTTTGTTAACGGGACATTTATTCTCAAGATGGAGAACAGAACAGAATTCTTCTCTTTTGAGTTGTTTGTTTGGGATAAAAAATAAAAGTAAATGGTGAAGGGATTGTTGAAGGAAGTTGTTGTAACTTTCAAAGGACTTTTTTATGGTAGCTTTCTTTGGAGAGATGAGGTCGAAATAGGCCAGGGATGCAACAACAGGATATATCGTACTTGCTTCTTGTATAGAATTATTTGTGAGCCAAAAATCAGGGAGTTTATCAGATAACTTTAAAATGTTCCAGTCTGCCTGTGCTGATTCAGATCCATTTAGAACTGGATGTTCCTGGCTAACTTGATGTACGTCACATTTTCTGTGCAACTGTATCTTCTATAGTTTTTAAAATATTATATGCTACTAGCAAACGATATCTGGGCTACTGGTCCTAACGATATCTGGACTACTGATCACTGATGCTGTGAAGAAGTAACTCTTAGCCTCTTAGCTCACATTCAGATTAGAACCACACGTGTTCCAAATAGTTCAGGTTGTTCGTTTTTGTCTCCGTTTCTGCAGAAGTACGTCTACTTCAGCTTCTCCCTTTTACAGTCGCGGTCAGAATGCCGGGACGTTTGAGTGGTGGCAGTGACCGGAGTAAAAACGTGATGAGCTTGTCCAGGTGAAAGGGTAATAGCTTCAAAGAGGGTAAGAATAAAAAGAGCGAGGCTGCGACCGACCAGTGAGAGGGAGGGAGGGTTGGTCTCCTCCACGAGAGCACTTAACAGCGCCTTCCCATCCACCCATCCTTCCATCCGTCCTCCACACCCATCCCCGCACTCATCCAGCTCCTGCATGCTCAATGCCATTGCCATTACAGCCTCTTCTTTTTTTTTTTCCACTCCGACTCTCCCCTCCTCCCCCCACACCCCCTGCTTCTAAGCACCACTCGGCAGCCTCTTCAGAAATTACAATAGCTCAGGGTTTAGGCAATTTTGACCAAATGCGGGCTCTGCATGTAAGGATTGGGGAAGGAAAGGGGTGTGGGGGGCTCGGGGGGGCTTTTAGGACTCCAGGCCATAGGGGGGGGATGAGGGGGAACTGAAATGAAATTACCAATTCAATGGCTGAAGCGCCACATGACAGTAGTGGAGGGAGGACATAAAATGAGGATTATCTGATTCGTGTGGGGGGGGGGGACGCAAAATATCCCAAAGAATCTGAAGTCGACGTGGGCTAACGACAGCCCTCAGCTCTGCCTTAGCGTCTCTGTAAACGTCTTCAGCGTTGCAGTAACTTAGTGAACAACGTTGGTAATGCACCTGGTGTAAAACAGCTGGTACTTGACCAGCAGCTGCACCAGTTCACTGAAGTTATGTTAGAGCTTTTAGAACAGTCCTGCTCAGACTATACAGTAGAATGAGTAAACTGAGTTTAATAAGGTTGCATTATACAGGTGATGATATTTTGAGAACATTGCAAGAAGCTCATTGGTGGCCTCAGCATTTACTTGTAAACATTAGACATTAGTTTAGCAGTTCCACTGAGTTCTGTATTACATTGTATAAAATTCTCTCCACCTAATCTTTTTCAGGGTCACGGGGTCAGAGGGGGGGGGGGTCTAATCTCAGCAGTCGATGCGGTGGAGGACAGTTTTTCTAGTCCATATATTCCATAGGTGTGAATATAGTGTGAACTGTTGTTTGCTGAATTCTGGGAAGACGGAAGAGAAACTGTGTCAAAACATACACCACTGACTGACTGACTGACTGACTGACTGGTCTGTGGACTCAGGCTGGTTTCCTGTGTCTGGACTGAAGGCAGTTTATTAATGATTCGGAAAAGAAGTTGAACAGTATTTGGGGAAACGGTGTTGACCCGCCTCCTGATCACAGATGAATCAAAAACCTCACAATAATGAGGAAACTGTGTGAAGTTTAAAAGTAGGAGACCATGGAGTTGTCTGAAAATGCCAGGCATCACCTAAATACATTTCTGTCACATGCCATTACCTGTCAAGGCAAAGTATGACAGGCTGATGAGGCCAGCCGTCAGAGTCTGATGACAGGCCTCACAGTCCAGGGGAGCTGGAAAAACAAGCACAGGCTAATTCTAATACAAACCCATGAATTTGATGAATCACAATCATTCTCTGTGTGGTGATGAATGGCCGTGATGCTAACTACAACCATTCATCAAGCCACCATCAGTTATCCTAAGGTGGCTTAATGTTTCATCCACTCAGACCCGGGAGAGAGCGAACAGCCATCCCTCATCTCAGGCGACTGGCAGAGCTGCACACACATTTCAATCTTGTCTTGTCATCTCCGCCTCAGGTGCAGACTCCCTCCCCCCAAATCATCTTTTTTTATTTTTCAAGTAAGACTCTGGACAGGAGTGAAAATGCAGATTTTTATGGACTAGAGAAAATTAAAACTTATGCACCAGAGTGAGGCCTGGTCTGTGTGTGTGTGTGTGTGTGTGTGTGTGTGTGTGTGTCGGTGGTGAGGGCAGTAACTAGTAAAAGGGCAGGACAGAAAACTCTGCTGCAATGACAGGAGGTCTTACAGCAGGTTGGTTACAGTAAATTAGCATTCGAGCCGCACTGCGCGTTTAGCACTTTGCGATTGGGTTCAGCAAAGGCCTCGCCCAGACTGTCCCTGGGGGGAACGTTGGCAGCAGAGCAGCGGCACAATGGGCGGGACTGGGCTGTCAAAATTAGATAATAAAGCACCGCAGCGCTGGCAGATAAATGTGTGCGAGGGGGCATCCATCTTGCGAGCGCGTTGCTGAAGAGGATGCTGCTAAATGACAGCGAGGGCTGTGTGTGTGTGTGTGTGTGTGCGTGTGTGTGTGTGTGTGTGTGTGTTCTTGCATGAATTGACAGAGGAGGATCTATTGTTTTTGCCGGTTCAGTTTATCAATCTTTATGATCTGATCTTAGAAATTAGAAAGTCCTAAAAAAATAAAAATAAAAAGGTAACAGAGGGAAATTCTTTGAGAGGCTGTGGAGCAGTGAAAGGCCAGAGGAGTGAGGGGGGGGGGGGGGGGAGCAGATAAAGGGATGGCGTGGCACTTAACCTTTCCCTAAAAA